TTCAAGCCGTCCTCTCATTGTTACGCCTGCTCCTCTCATTGTTACGCCTGCCCTGAGAACCTCCTCTTCGCCCCCCACCACTGGCTAAGACGTATCACCACTGGCTAAGACGTATCACTACTAGTCACGACGCCGCTGTCAGTCACGACGCCGCCGTCAGTCACGACGCCGCCGTCAGTCACGACGCCGCCGTCAGTCACGATGCCACCGTCAGTCACGACGCCGCGCGCCTTCAACCTAGAAGCCCTCTTCAGCCTGTACGCCCTCTCCACCTCCTCGTCTCTCTGAACCCCCTCTCCCCACCTACTCTCTGAACTCATCTCCTTCCCACTCCCCTCGCTTCACCCACACTCGCACACACGCACTCACACAAAAGCTCCAGCCAACACACACACAAGCTCCAGCCAACACACAAACAACTCCGGCGCACACACAAACAACTCCGGCCAACACACAAAAGCTCCGGCCAACACTAGACTCGTGACCAGTCGCCTGCACCGGGCCGGAAGCAAGCTGACACTTGCCCGATCTTGACCCCGGAGCAGGGACTGGAAGATCTCGACCGTAAGGTAGTACAGGATAGGAAATTCCCACGATTTTATGGGACTTAGTGAAATTTCGATGAAAGCTCGCCCCGTCCTGAGCGTATCTCGACCACCTGCCACCGATTGCAAGCCGCCTCAACCCGTCTTGCGCTCCCATTTCAATGATACTGTTATTCTGCACACCATACACCTCCGTCTGAAGACCAAAAGCGACAGACAGGTCCCAAAATCGAATACAGTATAGGCGAGCGCGGGATTGCGGCAGGCATGGCAGGGGAAGACGGTAGCCAATATGCTGCACTGCGCGGCGTATTTCCCCGCTTGATGACTGCCTAGCTTCGACCAGAAGGACGCTGTACAAGCTACACCACCCAGCTTTGCGCGCGCTCATCGAGGCTCACCCGCAGTATCAGAGCGGGCGACATCGATATCGACGATGGCGCCAAGACGCGTCAAGTCTCGCGCGTATGGGACTGACGAGCCTGCATTATGGGTCTGAGGCGCGTCATAGTGCTTCCCGCACCGTTCCGTCGATGCTGACCCCGTTGCGCAGCACAGATGCAGCGACTGCTGGATCTTAGGCTTGGCAATCCTCGCCGCGAGTCATTCCTCGTTGCGAGGCTCATTCCTCATCGACCATGAAGATGCCTACAGTACGGCCCACTGCCCGCGCACCACCTGCATCTGGCCACACGCCGGGATGGCTCGATCTCCAGCTCATCTGCATTGCCGCATTGTGTTCTTCCGGCAACTCAGCATCTTCATGCGAAGGTGTTTGAAGACAGCAGCAGCATATATCAGGTTTATTCGACTTAACTTTGCGAGACATGGGCTGCGTTGGCCGCGGGAGACGGCGTGCCGAGCGCGCACAGAGGCCGCCCCGTATCTGGAACCATGTATATCCAAGTATTTAGGCCCATTGTTAGCTGCACAAGCAAAGGACTACACATAAAGACTTCAGCGTAGTCATTTGCCGCGGTTTGAGAGCGAACGACGCCTGAAGGCAACGCCGACGTGCTACCTACGCCCGGCACTTTCGTCGAAATTTCTCTAAGTCCCATAAAATCGTGGGAATTTCCTATCCTGTACTACCTTACGGTCGAGATCTTCCAGTCCCTCCCGCGGGGGTTTCTCTTATGCTTGACTTCCTTTCGCCCGATCAAGTCCGATGTCCGAATCCCGCCCGAGCGCCCCGACCGCCCGCCGCCGAAGGTGGCGGCCCCCGCGCAGGAGGGACTGGTTCGAGTCTAGGCCAACACACACCCCGAAAAAATATAATATCACAAATTTTACAAAAATTCTGCTGCTTTTTTCCGTTTTCCCTACAGACGCGTCAAAGGCTCGCTCGCGTCAGCGCGAGTCCGACGACCCCCGCGTCAGCGCGAGTCCGACGACCCCCCCGTCAGCGCGAGTCCGACGACCCCTTGAACCACTGTCGACGACCCTCCCCATCCCCCGTCGACGATGCCAAAGCCACCCCACGCCATGAACCTCCACCACACACCGTGAACCTCCAGCTGTACCACACACCGTGACCTCCAGCCGTGGGCCGGGGCGCGTGTGATGAACGGGCTCAGACGGTCCCCGACTTGGCGATCTTGATGTCCGCCTTGGGCGTGCCGGACGCGGAGCCGAGGCCCTCGATCGTCTTCACGATGTCCATGCCCTCGACGACCTCGCCTGAAGGAGCCGGATTAGTGAGAGGCCAAAGAGCCGAGTAGTGAGAGGAGCCGGATTAGTGAGAGGAGCCGGGTTAGTGAGAGGCCCAAAGACGGTTGGGGGCGGGTAAAGAGGGTGGGAGACGAAGAGGGTGGATGGGATCAGTGAAGAGGCCAAAGAGGGCGAAGGTTGAAGAGGGCAAAGGATGAAGAGGCGGGGGCGGGTGAAGAGGGTTGGGGGCGGGTGAAGAGGTAGAGAGGGCGAAGAGGCAGGGACGGCGAAGAGGGTTGGGGGCGGGTGAAGAGGCAGGGGCGGCGAAGGAGGGCGAAGGGTGGAGAGGGCGACGGGAGCGTGGTGGCGGAGCTCGGTCTAACAACCACCACCACAAACAACCACCGCCATATCAAGCCTATCACCGCCATACGAAGCTCAAATGACCACTCCTCCACTCACCAAACACCACATGCGCTCCATCGAGCCAGCTGGTGACGACGGTGGTGATGAAGAACTGCGAGCCGTTCGTGTTCTTGCCCGCGTTCGCCATGGAGAGCATGCCCGGCTTGGTGTGCTTGAGCTGGAAGTTCTCGTCTGGGGGAAGAGGGAGGGGTTAATTGAGGGTCGAAAGAGTTAGGTGAAAGACAAAGGCAAGGGAATGCGGTGGTGGGAAGGGGTGTGGGGAAGGAATGGGTGTGGGGAAAAGATGGGACGGTCAGTCGAGTGAAGAAAATGGGAGGTGGGTGGGAGGAAGGAGATGCGGGGGGCTGGATGTGTGTGGGACGGATGCGGAGGTGGGATGTTGGCTTGCGTAGCTCCCGATCTGTGTAGCTCCCGACTCGTTGCAGCGCCCGACTCGTGCAGTGGCCCTCTCTTGCAGCGCCCGACTCGTTACAGCTCCCCCTCGCGCACACAACGCAGACCTCCCACACTCACCCGCAAACTTCTCGCCGTAGATGCTCTTCCCGCCGGTCCCGTTCCCACGCGTGAAGTCGCCGCCCTGGAGCATGAAGTTGGGGATGATGCGGTGGAAGCCGGAGCCCTGGTAGCCGAAGCCGTGCTCGCCGGTCGCGAGCTCGCGGAAATTCTTCGCGGTCTTGGGCACGACGTCGTCGAAGAGCTTGAAGGTGACGCGGCCGAGGGGCGCGCCGTCCTTGGTGATGTCGAACTGGGGGGCAGGGATGAGCGGGTGTGCGCGGAGGGATGAGCGAGCGTGGGCGGAGGGATGAGCGAGTGTGCGCGGAGGGATGTGCGAGTGTGTGTGGGGAGGGAACGGAATGAGTGGGGGATAGGGGGAGGAGGTGGTCTTTGGGTGAGAAGGGTGGGCGGGTAGGGACGCGCGAGCGCGAGAGACCGACGCGCCGTCGCCGCCATCGTCTGGCCGACAGCGCGCGCGGCCATGATCACCAATGACGCAGTGGTCGCCCATCGCGTCATCCGACTCCGCAGACGCGCGCGCGCCGCATCCGACGCTGCCCAACCCGCCTGCAGCGCTGGCAAGCATCGCGCGTTGCCTCTACGTCCTCCCGTCCCCGCGATCGAGTCGACGACCCGTGCGCCGCGCGTTCCATTCAATTGCAGTGTAGCTCGATCGCGTCGTGCATATATCCGCTTTTCCATCGCCTGCTCATCGTCTCGCCCCGCCGCGCCTCCAGCGGCCACCACCTGCGAGCCAGCACCACCGCACCCGTGCGACCGCCATCACCGCCCATCCCATCCCCATCGCGTCCCATCGCCCGGTCGCAAAGATGGAAGACACCCGCTTCGCCCGTGCATGCATCCACATTCATAACGCACCCCAGACACCCAGCAATCCAAGATAAGAAAACCAGCCAACTCACGAATACGTTGGACATGATGATTGCAGGCGAGCGGAGAGAGATCTGGGGCGATTGGGCCGCGAGCGAGGTCGTATATAAGGGACCTCGGCGATCGCCGGTGGGGCGGTCCAAGCGGAGCGCCGTGGCTGATGTCACGCTATCCGCGCGTCAACTGAGGGTCGCGACTCCCGGGCCGCTCCCGCTTCACCTCGACTAGCTGGCCCAGATACTTACCTGTCCCGCAAGTTGACTGTCCTCCAGAGCTGTCCTTCAGGTCTTGCAGGAACTTCCTTCACGTCTTGCAGGAATCAGTATACTTCTCAGTGCAGTAGGACAGACGATCTTTCGGAACCGCGCGTAACGCCCGACGTCATGTTGCAGTTTTTAGGTGCGCCGATGCGAATTCGAAGTTCAACACTGCATGGCGACTCGCGAGCTCTGGGCGAACCCGAAGTTACTTAGGCTGACTGTTACTGTTGATTGGGTTTGGACCTTGGTAGCAAATGCCCAGTGCCAGGCAGCTGCGTATACCTACAGGCGGCTGCTGCGCACACAATTCCGCGAATATTTTGACGCGCTGGACGCAGCTGCACGGTCGACAGGGGGTCATCCCTCCGAACAAACCGGGTAGTTCTCAACGCAGTCCCTTACTGTACCAAGGAGGTATACTCTCCTAGGCTCGATCATCCGCTCCGTGTTAGATCAGGCAAGCTGAGTAACACGAAGCCTCGCCCGCTCCCTCGCTCAAAACCCAAAACAGAAGATAACGGATTGTCGGCCCGGTTGCCGCTCTCTCTTTTCGGATAAAGCACTTGCGTGTTCGGGCTGAGGCTCGCGCGACTGAACGAGTCTAATACTCTCCGACCAAAAAGGAGATATGCTCTCCGCCCAAAGGGGACATATGCTCTCCGACCAAAAAGGAGTGCTCCCCGACTCACACGAGCCAAAAAAAATAAAAAAAAGGGAAACATGCTCGCTTCATTGACCACCGCAGGGGTCGAACCTGCAATCTCCTGATATACAAATCCGTCCGTTACCCGGGGAAATCGTAGTCAGACGCGTTGCCATTACGCCAGGCGGCCATGAAGGGATGAACTGCTGCAGGCATTGGCTAAAGGGAGGGATTGGCTAGAGGGGGGGGGAGAAGGAGGGGCGTGGTAAAGGGGGGAGGGACGGAGATGAACGGCGAGGGAGGTGAGGGGCGATGGAGGCGATAGGAGGGGACGCGCAAGGTGGTGTAGTAGCCTGGACGCGCAAGATGGTGTAGTAGGACGCGCAAGATGGTGTAGTAGGACGCGCAAGATGGTGTTGTAGGACGCGCAAGATGGTGTTGTAGGACGCGCTAGATGCTGTAGTAGAACGCGCGGTGCATTGACAGAGGTCGCTTGTCGCAGGCAGGCATAAACACGGTATTGGGCGAGGGCGCATGGGACGAGCAGGAGGGTCACGTCGGAAGACTACCGCAGACGCGTTAAACGACGACCAGGAGAGGCGGCGGACGACCACGGCAGACGCGGCGTACGACCACGACAGACGCGGCGGACGACCACGGCAGACGCGGCGGACGACCACGGCAGACGCGGCGGACGACCACGGCAGACGCGGCGTACGGCCGCGGCAGACGCGTTGAACGAGTACGGAGTCGACGACGCCGTCGCCGTCTGAGGACAACCCGCGAATCAAGCCCGGTCCGGTCGACCGTGTCCTCCGATCGCTGGTTGATGCACGGCTTGTCTCCGTCCTGCATCCAACACCCGACTACCGTGCGGCATTCCATTCTCCGTGTTCCGCTCGCGTATGCCTCGTCGCTGCCTGTGTACGCGTCGCCGCTGCCGGAGTACGCGTCGCCGCTGCCTGTGTACGCGTCGCCGCTGCTGATGTACGTCTCGTCCGCGCCCGTCGTCCGCGAACACTTCCCTCTCCGGATATATGCTCTAATGCACCCCTCTGCGTCCACCCTTCTCGCCCTCTCCACGTAGTTCCTCCTCTGCTGTCTCTTCCTCCCTCCCCCCCCCTCTCCTCCTTGTCTCCTCCTCTACCCTCCCTTCGCTCTCTCTGCCCGGTCCACGCCGCCCACCCACACTCCCACGGGCGCCTGGCGTAATGGCACGATCACAATCCGAGGTCGTAGTATTTGACCAGGAGATTGCAGGTTCGACCCGATGCGCTCCAACGCTCTCTTTTGTTGCTCTTCCAAGCCCACCTTCGTGACCTTCCCCGCATCCCATGCGCTCCGTTCCGCTCGTTCATGTCTCGTCGCCCGCGCATGTCTCGACACTGTCTCCCTATGTTTCGTCGCCGTCCTCATATGCCTCCTCACCCCCGCATATATGTGCTTCCTTCGCCTCTCTGGCTACCCTCACCTTACTCCTTTCCCTCGCCCTCGCCCCTCTTGCCATATCCCACAGCATTGCTCTTTCTCCCTTCCTCCTCTGCCCATCTTCTCGTATCGCTCTTAATCCTTCCCTTCTCACTACCCTGCCCCTCCCCTCCCTCAATCCTCTCCCCTCCCGCCTTCCTCTTCCTCCCTCCCTCAATCCTCTCCCCTCCCAGCTCGATCATCTTTGTTCCACCCTCCCTCCCCGCCTTCCTCTTCCGCGCCCTCCCCGCCTCCTTCTCTCCTCCCTCCCCTTCGCCCTCCGCGCGCCTCCCACCGCCCACCCCACATCCCCCACAGGCCGCCTGGCGTAATGGCAACGCGTCTGACTACGATCCACTGGTAATGGACGGATTTGTATATCAGGAGATTGCAGGTTCGACCCCTGCGGTGGTCAATGTACTGGAAGTGAAGGGTGCTCTTTTTGCTGTACGTGTCGCAAAGCGCGCCAGACGAACGAGCCGCGAGACGGGAATTGAATAAGGGGAGGAAACAACGGACGGGTTGCCTTCTTCTGAGCTACGCCGGAACATTGAGACAGCGTCGTCAAATCGAGGGTGTTTAAAACACCTCGATTGCGGTGCCAGTGAACATATTTGAGACAATCTCTGTTGTTCCCCTATTCGATGATATATAAAGGCCCCGTCGCACAAGTACTTAAAAGCCCCGTCGCACTATCGTCCGTCCTCTACCTCTCTTATTCGGCACTGTCAACCGTCCCGCCGCTGCCGCCGACCTCGCCGCCTCACCGGCATTCACCATGCAGTCCTTCATTGCCATCGAGCGCATCCTCGACGCAGAACGCGACTTCATCCTCGACGCAGAACACGACTTCATCCTCGACGCAGAACACGACTTCATCCTCGATGCAGAACACGACTTCATCCTCGACGCAGAACACGACTTCTCTCTATTCAATCGCACGCGCTACAAGTACTTACGATCGCAGGACTGACTGCATCGGCAAGGGTGGCTTCGCCAAAAATCTACCGCGCGGTCGACACTGAGAACCACGGTCGACACTGAGAATCACAACCGGCTCGTCGCCGTCAAGGTGCTACAAGCCTCCGGCTCGTCGTCGTCAAGGTGCTACAACCGACTCGTCGCCGTCAAGGTGCTACAAGCCTCCGGCTCGTCGTCGTCAAGGTGCTGAATATGTTCGAAGCCGACCCCGACCCCCGCATGTACGCCATGCAGAAGCTGGCAGGAGGCCAATGATCATCCATCGCTCCCTCTCCGTTCACCCGAACATTGGCGAGTTCCACGGTGCCCGGATCCCCCTTCACGCCAGTCCGAGTCTCGCCCTGCTTCTCCCCCATCACGCTAGTCGTCTCTCCCTGCTCTCCCCCTTCACGCTAGCGAGTCTTTCGTCCTGTCCTCCCCCTTCAGTCGTCTCTCCCTGCTCCCTCCCCCTTCACGCTAGTGTCGTTTCGTCCTGCCCTCCCCCTTCACGCTAGTCGTCTCTCCCTGCTCCCTCCCCCTTCACGCTAGCGAGTCGTTTCGTCCTGCTCTCCCCCTTCACAATCACGCTAGTGTCGTTTTGTCCTGCTCCCTCCTCCCTCCTCATAACGCGCTTCTCGCCCTCTTATCCTCTCTTTCTCTGGCGTCTGGAGCCTCAATCGAGATCGTGCACCTGGGTGTCCCTCATTCGAGATCGTGCACCTGGGTGTCCTTCAATCGAGATCGTGCACCTGGGCATCCCTCAAAAAAGATCGTGCACCTGGGTGTCCTTCAATCGAGATCGTGCACCTGGGCATCCCTCAATCGAGATCGTGCACCTGGGTGTCCTTCAATCGAGATCGAGCCACGGCGGGTGAAGGCGGAGGCGCTGGGCGCTGACCATATATAAGTGGGAAGGCGCTGAACAGAAGTGCGATGGCGCTGACCAGAAGTGCGAGGGCGCTGATTATAAGTGCGAGGGCGCTGACCAAAAGTGGGAAGGCACTGACCAGGAGTGCAAAGGCGCTGACCATAAGTGCGATGGCGAGGACGGGGTGAGAGAACGAGGACGAGGTGAGAGAACGAGGACGAGGTGAGAGAACGAGGAGACGGCGAGAGCCTCGGAGGAGGAGGACGGCGAGAGCGAGGAGGAGGACGGGGTGAGAGGAGGAAGAGGAGGCGCGAGGCGCGAGGAGGAGGAGGAGGCGCGAGATGCGAGGAGGAGGCGAGGAGACGGCGAAAGATGGCGGAGGGGGAGGAAGGCGATGACGAGGACGGGTGAAGTCGAGGACGAGGACGCACTGTGAAGCGCAGACCGGGTGAATGTCACCGGGCAAATAACGGGTGGAACTCACCTGCTGAACGGTTGAAAGTCACTTGTCCAGCGGGTTAATATTGGGGTAGGCACGCCGGGTGAAGACCTAGTGAATTCGCACCGCATTTTGGCACATTCACCCGGTGCCCCCCTCTGCGCTGGGCCTGTTAACTTTCACCCGTTTAGCAGGTGAATTATCCCTCCGTTTATTTATTACTGTTCCGGAATGTAATGGCAATCACCAAATTTTTCGGCGGAAATGCATTGTCGCTCGATTAGGCAATTCCGCATTTCCCTGACGATGACGGCTGGTCGCTGCAGTCGCCTGAGGGGAGAGAGCACTTGGAAAAATGCCAGTACCATCCGAGTGATGACCTGAATACTCCAAGACCATTAAAAATACTCCCCTCTCGAAGACAACTCGAAGAAGCTCTCAACCGAGGACGCCTCGTGCCCCGGAGCTTTGACGACGTGTCTGCCCGCTCTGCAGCAAGTACATATTACAAGAACGGTGAAAAACATAGTGATAGTCATTCTCAGCCACCATGAAATTTTCCCCGTCTCGCAAACGAAGACGACAAGCTGTAACGAGCCAACATACACTCAGCACGTGATCCAGAAATTCCAGATTGCCTTTTTGGGCGACAATTAATTTCCGTCAAAAAAAACTCGCGGTTGCCATTACATTCCGGAACAGTTGTAACCTGGTTTTCGGGTGGGACTTTCACCAGTATTGCTGGTGGAAGTCGTTGGGCTTGCCGTTACTGTGACCAGCTATATACGACAATATTCGGTACACGGTTCTGGTTGTGATGAATGGCAAATGAAGTATATTGATTGTGTAAAACTACTTGGTGATACACCTGCTACTGTAATGCACCAGAACAACTGCTAAGCAGCAAGACGAAAACACGTACATGAAGGATAGAACATATCAGCATATGATCCTGGCGAAAAATAGTGACGTACCTTCTAGGAGCAGTCGAGCGCGTGCATGCACGCCTCCATGATCGCGTATCCTGTGGCTGCACGTATAAATCTGGTAGAAGACGAGGCTGTACGTCACCGTTCGGATGGATCGCACCTGCTAACGCTCACCGGGAGGTATAGTCCCTGGGGCATCTGTGAGCTAGGTGCGGAGCAAAGGGAGCAGGGGGAGGCGCACCATTGGGGCGAAGCGCCGCACATCCTCACTTGACGCACTGTTGGATCGTCCTATCGCAGTTAGCCTGGGAAATGAGTTCAGTCATCGTTTTGCCTCGCCACCTATCACTGACCTTGTCCGTGCTATTCTGCACAGGCAATCGGCGCCGATCGCCCCTCTACGCGTCGTTAGACGCGTCCAGAAAGATAACGAGACGCACTCACCTAATCGGCTTGTGCGCCTTGGTTTGCAATCGAATTGCCCGCACGCGCTCGCCGCACTTCACCCAGTCCAATCATACCCATCC